GGGGAGAGCTCCGCGGCAAAGAAAAGACTTAAAGAATCAGCAGGTGTCAGCGTCCAATCACAGCTCAGAGGTCAGAGGTCAGAGGTCAGGATCTGTGAACCTGCTGCAGACTCACCTCTGATGATGCTGAAGAGCTCCTCGATCCTCATGTTCACATAGATCCTGCAGAAGAACTGATGCATGTGGCACCTCCACTGCTTCAGCACCGAGCCGCCGCTCGGGACCACCTGGACGCCGAGACCGCCGGGGGCCGCTGGGAGTGAAGCGGCGTCTCCGTCCGCCTCGCTGGCAAACACTTTAGCCAGCCAGCCAAGCACCAGCTCCAACCACTGCTCTCACACACACACACACACACACACACACAGTAAATGAGGAGCAGGCGACAGCGAGCTTCAGCGTGGACAGATGCTGCAGATGTTTCACCTCCTGGAACTCCAGCAGGAAGGAGCGCTCGTACTCGCCCCGGCACAGCTGCTCCATCCGCATCTCGATGAGCTTGTGGAGGATGGTGGTGACGGCCTCGGAGCTCACCCACTCCAGCAGCTGCAGCTTCGACCTGGAAACAACCAATCAGACGTCAGCGTTTCAGACTGCAAGAGAACAGCTGATCTGAGCCACGCTTCAGCATCATGAATAAAACTGTTAGAAATTTGCTATATATTATATTATTATTATTTTATTTTAGTCACAACTTTATTTATTTATTTTTTTACTCTGAAAATTCAAGGAAATAATGCCAACTTCCTGCCTCGTTACGTCAACTGTTTCAAATTAAAAGCCTGACTCACAGGATGTGGCTGAGCTCCTGCAGGTGTTCCAGGGCCTGCTGACACCAGCACTGCTGCACGGGGACCCAGCAGCCCCGGCAGGCCCCGCCGTCGGGGCCATCGGGCGCCTCGGTGGCGTCCTCACCGCTGCCTTCTCGGTTCATGTAGACAGAGAAGGTCCGGCTGTAAAACTCCAGCACTCGCTCCTGGAGGACGGGAGCCGGGGAGAAGAGGAGGAGAGCCCTGATGGTGGTGAAGGCTCGCTCCTTGAGGGCTTTGGATCCTGGTCCACACAGACCCCCGCGGCCCTCATCCTGCCACGCCCCCAGCTTCTCCAAACCAGCTGTAAGGAGGAGAAGTTTGAATGCTGCTCGCAGAGAAAACCCATCAACTCTCTGATGGTCCACTCACCCAGAAAAGGTTCGAGCCTGTCCAGCAGAGTCCTGAAGGCCGTAAGCAGAACCCAGACCCTGTCCTTCTCCTCCATCTCGTTCTCCGGCTGCTTCAGGCCAGACCAGAACTCGGGAACCACGCAGGCAGACAGACGCATCTGCAGCGTCTCCAGCAGCCAGCTGCCCAGCAGCCGGCCCAGACCCTGATCGTTCAGCAGGGCCAGCGAGTCTGAGAGGCTCTGCTCTGACACCGAGATACCCGGAGACACCTGAACGCAACCAAAACACAGCGTTACACAAACACAGGATGCACAGGTGCTGGTGATGGCTGACAGGGTTTCTTCACAGCGAGTTTCAGTTTGGATTTCAAGACTGACCGATGACCCTCGTACAGAGGAGGAGACGAGTTTGTGTCTCAGCTTTTGTTTTTTGTTCAATTTCACTAACCCTTGTGGTTGTTTTGCTTCTTTTTGACCTGATCTGCATCTTGCTCCGAGTCTCTGTGCGCTCCTTTTGAGTCTTTGCACTTGCTTTATTAATCTGTGTTCATTTTACATTTCTTACAGTTGAATTTGTGTAGCTTTGTGGTCTTTCTCTAACTGTGAAAGTTCGCAGACTTGTTTCACCTCTGTGTTCATTTTTATTCCCTCTGTTTTGTAACTTGCAAGCTTGGCTGTTTATGGACATCACGTCACAGTTTACTTTAAATTTATGAGGATTAATAACCAATAATGAACTCAGTAGGAAGCAGACAGGGGAAACAACACAGATTAGGACCATTAAGATGACATCGATACATACAAGCCGAATTTAACCGAAAACTTCTCCTGATTAATGTGACGTCTTAAAACCTCTCAAATTGCTAACAAACCACATCTACGACCAACAAAACGTTAAATCGAGAGATTTTTTAATGGAGTTCGGTTGCTCGTTATGCTACAGTCACATAGCTGCAGGTGTCCAGTGGGAAGCCACTCACCAGCGCCGCAGTGACGGTTTCCCAGGATTCAGCGACCCCGGGATTCGGTCCGGATCCAGACATCTCCACTGAGTCCGGTTCCATCGCACTTTCCTCCATTTTCTCACACTTTTCCTCACAAACCGCGAAGCAGCTTCTCGGTGTCCCACATTTAAACTGTGGAGGTTCTATCCGGTTATAACGTAGCTCCAGAACATCTACAAACACGCTCCATGTTTCCGGTGGGTATTACTCATGTCTAAGAATAATATCGCTTAAAATCAGCCCTGTCACTACCCGATCCGTACCGGAAACCCGATCGGTACCCCGCATGCGCGAAAGGTGTCTACTTCCGGTCGTAGCGTTTTACGATAGTTACGGGTCAGAGTATCTGTTAAGATGTTAAGAATAATAAGTATATCTTAAAATGTTTGCAATAATGAAGCATTTCAGTACAATGTAGACAAAAACGAAAAATAAAAAGATAGTTACGGATCGGGACTCCCCGATCCTTACTGCGCATGTGCAAAGTCGGACCGTACAAATCGGGTCTACCCGATCCGTACCGCGCACGTGCAGAGGTTTTCTTCTTCTTCTGTTCGTTTAATGGCAGTTTACTCCCCAGTGTACGAGGATACTGCCACCTGCTGACCGAGCGAATGAACCCTATTGTAAACTGAATTAGCGTCATTACAAACGTGTGTTAAATTTGATTTAGCGATAGTCGAGTGTGTTTATGCTTGTCTGTGTGGAGAGGATTGACTGGAATAGTGATGATGATGTCCGCTATCACTGTCAATTGTCAGTAAACACTTAATCTGGCTGCTGAATCTTCATGTGACACATTGCTAAATCAATATTATTACGTCTGTAATTAGGCGCCATTCTTCTAATTTTACGGCGCTTTTGTTCAATCGGGGAACGCTCTCTGTTGAGGAGAAAAGCATGAATTTGTTTGTATACGGATTATCCATTGTTTAAATGTCCCGGGCAGTCGAAAAGGAGGCAGAGCTGTTGAGAAATGCTAGGAGCTAACTGGGCGATAACCGTATCATTCAAATATACTGAATGTCGCAATGTTGGCAAAGAGAGGAAGTGACGTAAGATTTGCGCATGCGGGGTACCGATCGGGTTTCCGGTACGGATCGGGTAGTGACAAGCCCCAGTTTCTGTTATTACTCTGAACTAAAACTACATGTTCTTCAGTATCGCGGGTTTACTTCTTCTTCGTGAATCTTCTTCTTCTTCTCGTGATTTTGACGCCAAGGAGCCATATGCTGCCCTCTACTGTCAGACAGTGCGCATTGTAAATCCTCGCAGATTTTATTTTGAAGTTCACAGGAAGTGGCTCTGTGGGCTGGTGTTTGTCATAACAGTGGCGAACTTGTCATGAGGATAAAATTGCGTTTTTAAATGGTTCTGTACTCGGTTGTTCATATCCAGAAATGATCGAAGAATTTAGAGAAAAACAAAATCAACTTTTTTTTATGGAGAAAGAAAAAAACGTGAATACTTTAACATTTTTTCTCACAGTGTCATAAGTCACTGGACATTGTGGACATCCACGGTCACTTCATGCATAATGCACATTCTATGTGTAGGGACGTGTGCAGGTATATGTGTATGTATATGTATGTATATGTATATTTAGATGCACACTCATATTACATGTGAGTGTGCGTGTACACGTCTATTCTTATAGATATCTATTACTTACATAGGAAGAGTAGTGGTAGAAAAACTATGTTATAACTATGTAGTTTATAGTTTATGTCTTGCATAGACAGCCCTGTGTCCTCACATACTGTCGGCATTCTGTGAGGTAGTCCAGTATCTACTGGGATACTGGCTCCAGCTTGTCCCTCAGAAGTCGTGGCTGGATGGTGTTGAAAGCACTGGAGAAATCAAAGAACATGATCCTCACAGTGCTTCCAGGCTTCTCCAGGTGAGTCAGAGGTGCAGGAGGTAGATGATGGCGTCCTCCACCCCGATGCCAGGCCGGTACGCAAACTGCAGCGGATCCAATGAAGACCTCACCAGGGGGCGCAGATGGTTTAGAACCCACCTTTCCCTTAAATCGCCTATCATCATCTTGAATTCCTTCATAAACATATGGTAATAATATGTTTTGACATTCTCCAATGCAAATGTACTGTTTATAAGATTTGGGGAAACCTGCAGTCAGCTGAGACTGAAGAAGTCACCTGGATGAGTGACGAAACGTTTCTCCCACAAAACGCTACGTCCAGATGAACAGAATCAACTTTTGGAGATTTACTTTCCTGGATGATTGAGAATGCATCAAGACATGTTTTGACATTATACATTAAATCTTGAGAGTTGTCTGCCCTCTGCTGGTCATTTGGGGAACTGCATACATCAGTTTGCATTAAGTACAGCTGATCATAGATTTCGTAATGATATTACTAAAAAATCATTTAATCATTTAATCATACATTTTTCCCATTAAGCAGACATTACTGCAATATTTTAGTATTTTCAAAAGTTACTTGAATTTCTCAGTATTTGAAGTCACAAGTCCTTCAAGAATTTTAGGATTAACAAAACTAATAAGATTAAATTAATTGCAGTTGCGTTCTGTGACCGCTAGAGAGCAATGTTTAGAGTCTGTGGATTAAAATAAGTACGGATTATTTGCGTTTATATATGTACATTTTCAGTTTTTCTGAATTTGTTTTAAAAGGTAAAACGAAAATTTTAAATGTAATTTTATGAGTGAGTTTTAAATCCGTTTTAAATAAAAATATTTTATTTCATAAACATATTTTGAACACACCGACTCTCTCACCGTGGTTTCCTCTTTGTTCGAAGAAGTTTGTTGCTTTTTTCCACTACGATCCAAAGGTTTCACAGCCTCAGTGTAGTTTTTCATTGTATGGTGTTTTCTGTGATAAATGTCTGAGAATCTGTCAACAAATATCTTGTACATTTTATTGTATTTAGCACGGTCTGTTTTGCGATGCTTTTATTCTGAAAGGTATGTGTATACGCAACCTCCGGTTAGCCACAGCTAGCTGTTGCCGGCTCGCACAGCATCATGATGACGGCGGCCGAGTGCGAGTGAGTTTGTTGGATGAGTGTGTGAAGTGTGACTACTAAGCTTCTCTAATGTCGTGTCCGCGTGTGTGTGACCCGCGGCTAACCCGCTCGGTGCCGCCGCGCAGTAAAATCTGACCGCAGGTCTGCTGGTGTGTCGAGCTAAGATGCTAACGCTAATTTTAGCCGGTTATGAAATGTCGCAGAGATACAGCCGCACACACTAACTGCGCTGTTTTCTTGTCCGCAGCGTCCAGTCTGAGATCGAGGTGCTGCAGTCCATCTACCTGGACGAGCTGCAGGTGGACACGAGAGAGGACAGGTGAGCTAACAGCAGCTGGGTTAGCTTTAGTGCTGGTTGGTGTTGGACAGGTGAGACTTGTACAGGTGTTAAATGTCATCATTTGGAGGAACTTAGTCCTCTTGGCTCTCTGAAGGTCCCAGCTCAGCCTGAGGTGTGGACTCTGGATCACTGCAGCTCCTTGTTTGGAGATTTGCTGCTCTGGGATCATCCAAAGCTTTAGCTGCGGGTCAGATGGTCTCACACTCTAGAACACTTTGATGTACAGAAGAGTTTATGGTCCACTCAGTAACTGCAAGGTGTTCAAGTCATCATCATCATCATCATCTTCACCCACCACATGCTGACAGCTGGCCTGAGGTGTTTGTGGTGCACTTTGTTCTAGTCAGTCCAAACGACGTTGCTCCTGAAGTCTTGTTTCTTCCCACGCAGCTTTGCCATGTTGCTATGGCTTCGTTTCTCCTGGCAACACTTTGGGGTGAATGTGCTGGGCCCTCCCCTCCTGGAAGAGTGGATGATGTTTTGAATGTTTTCCATTTGTGAATCATCTCTAATTGCAGAATAGGGCTGCCACGATTAGTCGACTAGTCACGATTACGTCGACTATTAAAAGCGTCAACAACTGATTTAATAGTCGACGTGTCATTTTAAGCTTTGTAAGATCGCAAAAGCCGCAGGAATAAGTAGTAG